TTCTTAAGCATTATTCTTTATTGCTTTGGATGGAGCAATTTTAAAGTTTAACCTTGAGAATTATAATATCAGTAAGAATAATAAACACTCTATCTCTCTAATTTTCAGCAAATGAGATTTTATCTGCACTCTTTTTACAAAGGGGCATATAAAAATTGAAGATTGTGTATCTCCAAGTTGGTGCATTTGAAAAGGATTAGTAAATATTGTTAAAGAAACATTGTGGCTGCTCCTGATTTCCCTTTCAAAAAGCATTCTGGAATCTAAATTGAATAATAATTTCAGGACATAAAAAGGGACAATCAAGTTTTCTGGCTTTCATCTCATGTGGCCGCCCAAGAGACCTGTTTCGACCACATAGGCTCAACCACAAGCAATGGAAACTAAATTCATATTAAGGATAAAATAATAGTTTCTAAATAACTTTTGATCATCTGTATGGCTTATAGAAATGATAAGAGAATTCCTAGAGGGATTTCCAAGGCTCGAATTCTGATGATAAAGCAGAGCTGAGGATCATGATCTGGACACTTCAGGGCTGTCAGTGTTTCTGTGAAAAATTAAATTATTCATCTAAATTTTTCATGACTCATCTCCCGTAACTACTGACATTTCAAGAAAACAGAGTATTAAGTCAATGTGATTTTCATTATTATACACATTACACAAGAATTGAAGAGTTTTAAAGCATTTTTTATTAAAAAAAATGGCTTCCTACATTTAGTAATGTTTTAGTTAACAAAGCTACAAATAGTTCATCTAATTTTCAGTGAGTATTGTTCACTTAGGGAAATAGAAACTTAAGACATCTGTTACATGGCAAACTATCCATTGACCGCTGATTATTGTTCTGAACTTGTGAAATGTTTAGGGTACTTGTAAAGAGCTCTTTGGTTTTCTGAACACTTTATACAAACAAAGACTGAATTATTTAGGTCAGAGTGGTCCAATAGGAACAGGTGCAGTCTAAACATCAAGACAATAACGTACTAGTTTTATCACCGAAACTCCACAATATCAGGCGGGCTACTGTTGGACTATAGTTGTTTTTTTTGCTTACTTTTAATCTGCATATATAAAAGATTATGTTATATAATTTTTAGGTTGAAAATGAAATAATAAAGGCAGCCTCCAACTTCCAAGAGGGATTTTTAGCTAGCGTAGGATCAGCACTCCCACAAAAAGCACTAGAAAAATGTAGTTAAAACACAGAAATCAACTAGCTTAAGGCAATAGAGAGCTGCAAAGGCAACGGGACCCCAAAGAGGTAAGACTCCAGAGAAGGGAGAACCTCAGTGGGGTGCTCTTTGATAGACTTTAACTTGCATGCATGTGGCAATTCTGGGACTGTAATAGTAAATACTGTTAAAGAAATGTTGTGGCAAGCTGCTCTTCATTTTCCCTTTCAAAAAAGTATTCAGAAATCTGGGGCGCCTGGGTGGCGCAGTCGGTTAAGCATCCGACTTCAGCCAGGTCACGATCTCGCGGTCCGGGAGTTCGAGCCCCGCGTCGGGCTCTGGGCTGATGGCTCGGAGCCTGGAGCCTGTTTCCGATTCTGTGTCTCCCTCTCTCTCTGCCTCTCCCCCATTCATGCTCTGTCTCTCTCTGTCCCAAAAATAAATAAACGTTGAAAAAAAAATTAAAAAAAAAAAGTATTCAGAAATCTACAACTGAGCAACAATTTCAGAACTGTAAAGACGGACAATTGTGTCTTCTGGCTTTTTCTCAAATGGCTGCCTAAATGACCATTTCTACCAGAAAGATACAAACCCAAGCAAGGCAGAATAATAGCCCCAAAACCTGTAAAAGGACACTGACATAGATGCATTTAGGGTTGGTAATCAGCCAACCTTGTGAGAGAGAGAGAGAGAGTATCCTGGGTTACCCAGGTGGGCCCAATTTTATTGCTTGAGTCTTTCAAAGCAGAAACATTTCTGGATAGGGTCAAAAGGGAAGTTAATATAGAAGTGTTACAGAGATGCTATGATGCTGATTCTGAAGATGGAGGAAGGCGGCAACAATTTAAGTGATTCAAGCAGCCTCCAGAAGATGGAAAAGTCTAGGAAACTAACTCTCTCCTATGACTCCCAGAAGAGATGATAGCCCTGCCAGCACTTTGATGTTAGCCCAGTGAGACTTGTGTCAGATTTCTATGCTCTGGAATTGTAAGATAATAAATTGGTGTTGTTTTAGGCCGTAACACTTGTGGTAATTTGTTTATAGCCACAATAGAAAACTGAGTAACAAACCTGCAGAAATTTTGGCAGAGACGGGCTGTCTCAAGCTTATGTTTGCTTTTGGGTCACAAGCTGGAGGAAGTTGGATACCAAATATTTAATTAAAAACAATCTGTACAGCAGAGTTTATAAGCACTCTGGTGAGGTACAGATAATAGATAAGTGCTTTAGTTGATCCCAACAGACAGAGCGAAGCCATGCTAGGTTCAAGCACTGATAGCCAGGCTTGGAACTATGCAGTCCCTATGTGCACTGGGAGGAACTGATGGCCCGCAACCTCTCCTCTCTTTTGGACTTCAATTACATGAATGGTAGATATTTTGACCTTATCCCACAGGTGTCTACTGTTTTTTCCTGTATTTTAAATTACCATTGTTTCTGGTACTTCGTGTAGGATTAGCCATTACCTTGTCTTCCACCCCTACAATCTGGCCTTTGGTTCTTTCACTTCTGCTGTGTCTACCTAAAGAGATACTAATTTCAGATATTGCACTTTACATTCTAAAGTTTAATATGATTATTTTGTGTATTTCAATTATCTGGTGAGATGCTCCATATTCTCATCCATTTTGTTCATTTTATCTTCTATTTTAACAACATAATATTAATAATTATTTTAAATTATTTTAAATTATTATTTTAAATAAATTATTTTAAGTCATTAAAAAATTCACAAAATAGTATTATAGAAACATTAATAGACATATAAAGCATGTAAGTCAGGTAATACTAGGAAGATACTCTTCAATTTAAATGGGGGGTGGATATTGTCCAGTTTAATAACTGAGAGTTTATCAGAAGTACAATTAGAAAGCATCACATAAAAAGACATCTTAATAAGTAGAACTTTCATCCATAGATTTGTTCAAGCCATGAAATTAGGCATTTTATTTTTAATTTTTTAACTGAAGTGTAGTTGACTCATAATGTTACATTAGTTTCAGGCATACAACATAGTGATCCAACAAGTCTATACACGTTATGCTACGTTTACCACAGGTACAGCTACCGTCTGTCACCATACAATGCTACTACAGTCTCACTGAGTATATTCCCCATGCTGTGACTTTTATCCCCATGACTTATTAATTCCATTCTGGAAGCATCTATCTCCCCAAATTAGGCATTTTTAAATCCTCTGTACTTCCCCCCACCTCCATATCTAATTCGTCAATACACCCTATCAACTCTACCTCTAAAATAAACCTGGAAAATGTACATTTGTCATATCCACTACTTTTACCTTAGACCACACAAGCATCACTTAATGCTTGGCATCCTTCTATAACCTCCTATCTAGTTTCTTCACTTCCCTTCTCTCCACCTGGAAATAATTTTTCAACACAAGTACTAAGGTTAAGCATTTAAACATAGGAATTAGATCATGGTCCCTCCCTACTTCAAATAATTCAGTGGATTCCCAATTACACTTAGAATTATTAAAATCAAACAGATAGGGGCGCCTGGGTGGCTCCATCGGTTAAGCGTCGGACTTCGGCTCAAGTCATGATCTCATGGTTCATGAATTCGAGCCCGTGTCGGGATCTGTGCTGAAAGCTTGGAGCCTGAAGCCTGCTTCAGATTCTGTGACGCCCTCTCTCTGCCCCTCTCCCACTCGCACTCTGACTCTGTCTCTCTCAAAAATAAATAAAACATTAAAAAATTTTAAAAAAAGATAAAAATATAAATTAAATGAAAAAGTCTTTTTCCCTATCTTACAAAATGACATAAAACAAATTTACCTAAGGCACTGTGTTTGTATATAATTATTTTTTTGTCTTTAGCCTTTAATATCCTGTAAGAACATTGCTTTCCAAAGTTACTTTGGTCAGCTTCTTTCTATGATTCTTCAAGGCATTTATCTGATTTATTTGAAATACACTTATATTCATTTGTCATAGTCTTCACCCAACCTTGGGCACTCTCACATTTTGGTTGATTTAAAGAAATGTATGTATCAATTACACTCTCATCTTTATACTGGTGTAAATATACACGCCCTGGGACAAATGCATACAGTCATGCATCCATGAACACTGGCATCCACCACTAAGTTATAGAACTTTATAGAACATGTGGTTCACAACAAAACTTCTCACACTGACTCTTCGTAGTCAATCTCTGCCCCTACTTCTCAACCCTGATCACCAATCTTTTTATTCATCCCTTTAGTTTTACTTTTGACAAAATGTCATATAAATAAAATCATACAACACATAACGTTTGAGGTCCGGGTTCTTTCAAGCAAGCTGTATTTAATGTTCCTCCAGGTTGTTGTGTGAATCAACAGTTTTTTCTCTTGGTACTATAGATTAGTATTCTACGCTAAAGTTGTACAATTGTTTATCCATTAACTGGTTGAAGGACATCTGTGTTCTTCCCAGTTTCTAGTGATTAAGAATAAAGATGATACAAACAATTGTGTCATTGTCTTTGGATAAACATCCATTTCCATTTCCCATGTAGAAGATCCCTAAGTAGACATGAAATGTCTGTGTCAAATTGCAGTTGTATGTTTAGCTTTCTAAAAAATTGCCAAACTGATTTCTAAAGTAGCTGTTCCATTATGCTCTCCTACCAGATATATGAGTATTGGGTTATACAAGAATAAACTGGTCAGGGGCGCCTGGGTGGCGCAGTCGGTTAAGCGTCTGACTTCCGCCAGGTCACGATCTCGCGGTCCGTGAGTTCGAGCCCCGCGTCAGGCTCTGGGCTGATGGCTCAGAGCCTGGAGCCTGTTTCCGATTCTGTGTCTCCCTCTCTCTCTGCCCCTCCCCCGTTCATGCTCTGTCTCTCTCTCTGTCCCAAAAAAAAAAAAAAAAAAAGAATAAACTGGTCATTATAATTAATTTGAATTTTATTTTAACTGAAATAGAAAGATACCAAAGCTGTGAAGTACAAGAGTAATATCACAGGACTTACATTTTGAAAAAAATCACTCTGGTTTCTATATTGTCAGGAAAAATGAGAGTAGTTAGTAAACTTTCACAATAGTACAGCTGAGAGGTAAAGTCATACACATAAACCCAGGGAAACACAGCCTCTGTTTCACATAAATTCCCATGCACATACTCCATCTTGTTTCAAAAATGATTTATGGGGCCACGAATAATTTAAAAATAATACATATAACTCAATATCATTCATATTTTTACAAATATACTCAATAATTTACTATCTATTTGGTATTATACTGCATTTAGGGATTATTATGGTAATAATGGAAACTATAGAGAATAGAGTTATGTTTTTAATCTATAATATTAATGCTATATAAATGTATGAAATTAAATATATATTTTTTCAGTCATATTCCTTCAATTAAATCATAATAATATTTTCCTATATATTTGTACAAGATACTTATCTAAACTATATTGTAATAATTATTATTGTTTTATATACTTGGAGAAACTTTCAATATTGATGAAACATTTGGTCCTAGAAGCTATCTACCACAGAGTTAAAACTAAGCAGAATTTTAAAACATTTTCTTTCCAAGGAATATTGGCAAGCCTATTAAATAACAGTCATCAGCATGCTTTCCATTTGATATTCTATTTATAGTTTTCTATTTTATGTATTCCATAAAATAAATGGTGACTTTAGATGCATGTATAATATATTTGAAGAGGAAGAACAATTAATTTAATTAATTAATTTCAGTACCTGATTCATCTGTAGAAATTTAACTTCACTTTTTTTTTTTTTCCAGAAAGATAGGTCACTCATTGTTTTGAGTTTATGGCTGTTTACCAACATCATGGCCTTGTGATTTTGAGTCTTTCCACTGTGTATCTTCATTCTGAAAGAAAATCATACATAAGTTATGTTTAAGCAGGTAAATCAGAGAAGCTTCAAAACCAAAAATAATAAACTGACAAACATTTATTCACCTAGTTCTCTATTCTAATTGGTTACAACAATCCCCTTCTTATTTTATATCTTTGTGTTAGTATTTCTTCTTGTTTAAAGTAATTTTTATTGTTATATTATACAACTGTGTGTGTTATAAAATTTATTATAATTACACTGTGATGTTTAGATAGAGTGGAGTGAAGAAGAAAAATTAGTGTAAGTATTTCTGCAGAAACAGAATTTTTATTTGGATGAGTTAGGACAATAGCTCAACTTCCTTTACTCATTCTGTCTTCAATTAGTATTCCTTAAATTGGCCTATGAGATTTGAGGTATCTGGAAAAAGAAAAATAATAAATTAAATATATTTAAATATGATTTAGATAAAAAATTCCAGTCATATAAAGATGATTTGAATATTTCTAATTAAAATTGATATTATGTTTATATTACAAAAATACAAAAATAGAAAAAATCAGCAAATAACATTTAATAATGATATTACCAAGACAATATTTATAATCATTGAGCTTCTGTGTACTAAGACACAAATACAATCTTGAGAATGACTGACTGGCAAGTTATGTTTCCTGTGTCCTCCAACCATGAATCTGTCATGTTTATTCTTGTTCAAAAGGGGTGACAGCAGATGAGAAGAAACTGAATGGCCTTTAAAAAAATAAAACACACATGACAGATGCCATATGGCTTCCACCCCCTCCCATAACTCTGTTGAATACATTTAGAAAAGAATTTCAAAAAAGGGACTAAAGTGAAAAATTATTTTAGAAATGACCTTGCATTTCAAAACAAATATACAACAAATGTCACTTAGCATTTAGCAATGTGATATAATCCTAAGCAATAATTATAAACTAGCTATTAGGTAATGACATGAGAAGTAGAATAACACAACTTTTTATTAAGAAGTTAAATGTGTTAAAAAGTAAAGAGACAGGCATAATGAACTACAGTATGCCCATTACCCAAATTAAACATTTTTCAACTACGAACAATCATAAGCTTGCACATCTTTCTCTAAATCTGAATTATTTTGAGGCAAGTCCAAGAAATTATACTTTTACACTATAATCATAAATTATTAATATTATTTTAAAAGTGTAATAGTGTATAAATTATCATAAAATAATAAAACATATTTAATATTATTTAATATGCTATCAAATAGAAGAAAAGTGAAGAGTTTCAATTCATTTTATAAAGTTGATATTATTCTGAAACTAGAGCCATAATAAAAGAGTAAATAAAAATGATAGCCTAATATTCCTCATAAACATTGGAACAATAATCCTTAACAAAATGTACAAAAATACATAATTACAATAAGTAAACCTATATATATATATATATATATATATATATATATGATAATGGGAAGTTTTTTTTTCCTTTTGAATATATAGCCTTTTATTTCCTTTGCTTGTTTCATTTTGCTGGCGAGAACTACCACCAATTTATTGAAAAAAAATGATGAGAGCAGAATAAATTGGTGGTAGTTTTCACCAACAAAATGAAGCAAGGAAAGGAAATAAAAGACATATATACTAAAAGGAAAAAAATAATAAAACTGTTCCTATTATCATATGACATGTTTGTGTATGTAGGAAATCATAAAGAATCTACCAAAAAATAAAATAAAATTCTGTAACTAATAGTTAATTTAGGAAGGTCACAGGACACAAGATAAAGACACACAAATCAGTTACATTCTATTTGTTAGAAATGAGCCTATAATCACTAAAACATAAAATAATACAAATAGGTCCCCCCAATTTAAGTACCTGTACAAACCTAAAATATTATATATAAACTCCATATGTAGAATATTACAAAACTCTAAAGAACGAAATCAAAAATTTAAATAAAAGAGATATCTCATGTTCATGAATTCAAAAATGCAAAATTAAGACGTCAATTTTGCCACATGCTCTGTAAAATCTGTGAAACCCTATTCAAAATCCCCCAAAAAACATTATTAATAGATACTGATAACGTGATTCTAAAATTACCATGGAAAAGTAAAAGTAAAAAAACCTAGAATAGCCAACACAACAGTGAAGAAGAACAAAGTTGGAGGACTAACGTTTCAAAAGGTATGATTACAGCTACAGAAATCAAGAAAGCTTGATAGTGAATAAGAGCCATCCAGATCAGTGTAACATAATAGAGAGCCTTCAAAGATCCACGCAAATATTGATCTTGGTCTATGTCAATGGTCTAAAATCTACTATTCCTTCTTTATCTACTAGCCAGGTACTGCTTTAATTGTCACTTTCCATTATTAATAGGTTGATGAAATTCCTACATGAATTTAAATAGATACTTGATTCTTTTTCTTTGTAGCCAATTTTGAAGATATTGATTTGGTTGCTTAGCATTATCTACAGGTGAAAATGAGCTGTTTTTTGGGGATTTTTCTTTGTTTTTTGTTTTTTTTTTTTTTAATACACGATGCTCTCATGGATGTTACATACCAAATCAACTTGATAACTAACAGCACCCTTGCTTTTGGTAATTACAGAATATTCCAGGCTTATCTTGGATTATTTCCAGCTCCAGCCTTAAAATCATCTAATTCTAATTCACAAATATGACCTTGTTATTCTATGGGAAATGATATAAGTAAGTATTCAACATAGATATGCCACTCAAGCCAAGATTGGTTTCATGGAAAAAAAAAAAAAGACCTTATTTTTAAAGGTCAATTTTCATGAATTTACAATGACACTTCCAATTCAAATTTAATCCTGTAGGATTTTTCTTCTTTAACTTACATACGTTTCTATTTTCTCCCATGCCAAAATCTAAGATTCCAACTACAATAATGTATTTATTCATTTGTTTTATTTCACAATACATTAGATCTACATACATCTATTTACATTATAATTACATTATTATATTACAAATGATGACACAATAAATAGACTTGTAAATTTGTATTTTTGTAACTTGGATATAAATTTCCATGAGTGACATTTCTGGATAAAAATCAAAATCGAAGGTTAATGATATCTTCTATATTGGCCAATTCACAACGTGTGTGTGTGTCTGTGTGTGTGTGTGTTTGCATGTGTGTGTGTATGCATGGTCGTACACCTTAAATACACACAATTTTTGTCAATCATGACTCAATAAAGCTGGAAGAAAAAAGAATTATGCAGGTGGAAAAGAACAGAATATGTTAGCAGCCTTTTCATATAATGTGAATATATTTAGATAAAATTTAGCACAATTAAAATTAGCACAAAATTTGACAAGTGGCCATTTATTAAAGGTTTTTGAAGTACATTATATGGAACCATATTGATTAATTTTATAGTCTATTAAATTATAACCTATCAGTGTATCTTGCACTTTGAATGGATCTTTAACCTATTATTATTATCCAGCATCATGCATTGTTCATTTGGAAAATAACAGTTCACTGAGTTGTATAAGCTTTGATACACTGACATATTTGTTATTCAAAATAAATAATCACATCTGTTAAAATCACTGATGATCTCATTTTAAGGCAATTTAAGAATTGGTAAGCTTACAAGCACACAGTTCCATTTATGTTTTCCAAAATTTTAATTTTCACTTTAATGCTCAAATTTTATTACTGGCAACAAAGAGTGCCAATTATTTTCCTGAAAGTGATGCACTTCAGTCATTTTCTAGAAAATACATGCCAAAATCCAAATCTGAATATGCATACATTATCATTCACTTCAGTAAAAATGGCATTCTATGTAAAATTGAACAAAAAGCTAATTCAGCTCACAGCTCAATTACACAAGAGTTTCCCCACAAACAAAAAGAAGTGATTTATGTGTTATTACCATTTTCTTTCAGAAATTATTAATAATTATTCTGATTTGTTATTCAGGAAGATTACATTTTTATTCTAATAGAAAAAAGAAAAGTAAAAACTCTGAATTTAGACTCTCTTTAGCATGAACCTCCTATTTCTCTGAAAACAAATTTTGGCTCATTACTAACATTTCATTTTATTATGTATATATTTTATAAATGTATATACTTAATCTTTCGTCATGAGGTCCTTATATTTGCTCTAATTTCACTTATATGATACAATGCTCAGAAAAACTAATTAAGTTAGGATAAGTGGATTTTCAAAAAGTACAGGAAATTTGTCTTGTACTTTGGATCACAACTAATGGGTTACCATTACTTACTAGTCATCTCTTTTGACTGAAGACCGCTTTTTTGTTGTTGTTAACTATCTGTATGAACAGTATGGCAACATTCTTAACAGAAAAGTAAAAAGAAAAGACAACACAGGACACACACTTTTTAAAGTTAAAATGGGATTAATTAATCAAAAATCAGAATTTTCTAAGTTAAATCGGCACGTATTCTTGCATGTGATTACCATCTGTCTGCTTAACTAAGTCAGTAACAGTGAATTCACCATAGATTTCTACAACCCAGCAATTAAGAGTACGTGACCAGACCTCTTGGCTCATATTCTGTTTCAGAAGGTATTATGAACATAACTGAGAACAGACGACTTGCCCAAGGTCACAGAATATTTTTTTCTATTTATCTTTGTCAGCACAGTAGGTCTGAATATTGTGCATAATTTCTTGCTGAACATTCTACTACAACATTGTTCTAAGTTGTTTAAGTTATTTGTAAATTTTTAGCTAATGAAGCAATTTAAAAAATTCCCATGAGACAGAATGGGAAGAAACTTTTCCTGGCATTTCAGCACAATGTTGTTTTCATTATTTTATTATTTAACTAAAAGTTTTATTCACTTCTATTGTTATCATTGAGTTTTAATAAGACAAATTTTGAAAGATGGTAAGTTTTAATTTTTAGGAAATATATTTTGTAATATAAATATTCAAAATAAGTTTTCTCTATTGGGTAAATATTAAAAAAAAAACTAATCTGGTCCTATGATGAATTCAG